TTACCATGCGCCCATCCCATGCATAAGGGGGGGGGGGATGTGCATATGCAGATACCAATGCCGGCAGTAGCGGTGCGCCTACAAACTAGGCCAATCGAATATGGCCATGCTTTCAGGAACCAGCGTGTCAGACTTCGACCAGGCCACAATTCTCACCAGCGGCATTAGCGTGCGGAAAGGAATCTCTTGCGACTGTGTCACAAGCCATGCAGTGGGCGCTTGGCAGAATAGATGCATACTCAGATCCCACTGGCTGACATGGATCGGTGTGTTAAATCTGGCGGTTTTACTGGTTCCATTATCAAAAGCTTCCATTATGGAGTCAACCTAACGTGCTGGTGTACACAACGGGTGTAACATGTAACTATACCTGTCTTGAAAAACACCGACGAAACAGACGTACCGATGATATCAAGCGATCCAGCTCTTAGGTGAGAAACACCGCGTCTCATGCCGGTAGCTTGGAGACAACAATTATTTGCGTGCAAGGCAAGCGTATTAACATCTCGCACTTGGTATAAAGCTGTTTGGATAGGTATGTTCCCCCTCATCCAAATACCTTGTAACAACATAATAAGATCAGCACCCCAAAATTTCGCAAAATGTGCTGCTTGAATGCAGGGGGGGGGGAGGAAGGGAGGGGGGAGTCATGTGAGAGCGCGCATCGCGCGCACATTGCATCATTAGGCGTATTTGCTTTTGACGGTACAGGAGACCCCATGTTACCCAATCTCGGAGCAGGATAGCCCCGTGGCCACCTAACCTCGGTGAAGGATGACCCGTGTCACCCAACCACAGTGAAGGACGACTTTGTGTCACCCCAAGTCGTGCCAAATTTAGCGGCCGCAACTCAGCGCCATGGCGACCAGGACTTGTCAGTCCAAAGAGTGTCAGTTGCTGCCAGCTGTCAGGATTACCAGCCAGTCGCCAGGAGTTGTCAGTCCAAGGTGAGATCAATCAAACAACAGGTCAATTGTCAGCCAGCTGCCAGGATCTGCCAATCAGTTGCCCGGAGTTGTCAGCCAGTTGCCAGGAATTCCCAGCCAGTTGCCAGCCAGTTGCCAAGAGTTCCAGCCAGTTACCAGCAGTTTCCAGCAAGTTGCCAGGAGGTGCCAGTACAAAGCGAAGCAGACGTCTGGCGGACACGCCACGGACCGCACGCCGCCCTCGATCGCAATGATTGCGGATCCCATCAGCGGCCATGCTCCCTCTGGCGACCGGTCCCCTGCCGCGCGTCCTCTGCCGGGCGTCCGTCCGAGATGCAGCTGTGGCAGTTCAGTCCCTGCAGACTTTCGTGGACCGCTGGGTGGCGCGTGCCGCCCTCTGGCGATCAGCTCAAAAGCGGCACCGTCGGCGCTGGGGAGTCCCAGGTCCTGTTCGATCTGTCGTCAGCACGACTGCCAACTAGAATGTGTGACGTCATGCGTGCTGACGGAACGTTTGGTGATGGCTGACAGAAAGTTTTTTTATTACCTGCCCTTTTTCCTCTGTCTTTTGACTACTTCACACCTTACACTAATTTCGGTTTGCCATCATCTAACACACCCGT